TGGATTGAACATACGGTCCGATGTGGTATGCATATTGTAGCATGTTTAAGCCCATTCGGTGCTGATTCGACGTGCATCGCAGCTCGGTGGAGAGGTTCGTACTGCACTCCTGCTCCCCGTCAGATTCTGATTACCTCCAGATTACCGGTATTGCGAAGGCGCTATCAGCTTTTGATTCTGAGACGGGGTACCGAGTCAGTGCTGCGACGGTAAATTTTATCATTTTTAGCGAATACAAATATTTGCTGTTGCTCATGAGCCCGTCGCGTCAGGCGTACCTGCTTCCAGCTCTCGACAGAGCGAACCTCAAGATCCTCACAGAAGCGTATGTCTGCCGGATCGTCACGGAAACGGAAGCCGGCGGCGTCGTCGCTCGTGCGGTCGAATTCGAGCATGGCGGCAAGCAGTACACCGTCTCAGCGGCGCGCGAAGTCATCGTCTCTGCTGGGTGGGTTCCCTGCTTTGATCTGCTGCTCGGCGGGCTAAATTTTTCTTGCGTCGCAGGACTGTCAAGACTCCACAGATCCTCGAGCTCAGTGGAATTGGCGACTCGAATGTTCTCGAGCCGCTGGGGATCAAGACGGTCCTCGATTTGCCCTCTGTCGGCACGAATGTGCAGGAACACGTCATTGTCGCTAGTCTGAACTATCGTACGCCCACCAGAATCCATCCCTGTAGGAACACCACTGAATTCTATCACATCCCCAGGGATGCAAGACGACAAGAACATCATTACCAACCACGTCCTCGCTGACAAAGAGCACATGGCCGAGGTGCATAAGCGTCTGTGAGTGCTTGTCTTTTGATGCAAATTATTCCCCAGCCGACGTCCCGAAAAGCGATCTGAAGACGGAGTACGCGCTAGTTACCAACAACCTCGCCTTTGTCCCTCTTCGCGTCGCGTCAGACAGTGCGGAAAAGCTGGTCGCGAAGAAGAGAGCAGAGCTCGCTCAGAACGGACCATCGCTGGCTCCCGGCCTGCGCAAGCAGTACGAGGTACAGCTACAGCTGATGGAGAGCGGGTGCAACGCGGACATCGAGATCATGTCGTCTGCGGTGGTCCTGACGCCGATGGCGGAGCCATCGAAGCCGCACATGGCGCTCATCGCCGAGTTGACGCACCCCTGGTCGCGCGGCACCGTCGTGAGTTCCACCCGTTTTACAGTCCGCGCTCGGACAGTGTACCTCATGCACGTACTCAGCACATCGCCTCTGCGGACCCGAAGGCGAACCCATACATCGACCCGCGCTATTTCGCGGACGCGTTCGACCTCGACGTCCTCGCCGAGGGCTTCAAGTTCGCGCTCAAGGTCGGCGAGACGGAGCCGTTCCACGGGTTGACGAAGACGCGTGTGAGCCCGCCTCCCGAGGTGGACCTGTCCACGGACGACAGTATCAAAGGCGAGCGCGCTCCCCCTCTGTGCACGCCCCCGTGCGGCCGATATGCTAACATGGGACCTCTCTAGAACACGTGCGCGCGAACATCTTTGGCATCTGGCGTGCGTTCTCTTTCGTCATTTGTCTGCAATGTGTATCGCCCGATGCTGACGCGGGAGACGTGCAGATGCCTGCGGCACTGCATCCATGCTGCCCAAGGAACTCGCCGGCGTCGTGGACCCGCAGCTGATGGTGTACGGCACCAAAAATATCCGCGTCGTGGACCTGTCAGTTCTGCCGCTGCAGATATCTGTCCACACCCAAGGTGCGGCCTTGTCCTTGCTGCTATGCTCGGGGTCAGCACTGATGTTTTACTCGTTTGACTCTAGCGTTTGTGTATGCTTTGGCTGAGCGAGGTGCGTACTGCTTGCGTGAACTAAGGAACGCTGACTAACGGTGACGGTCTGTGTTTCAGCTGCCGATATCATCAAAGGAGTTCCGATGTAAGCTATACTTCGAGTCTGTCGCTTCCGCTTAGTCCTCGTTGCTCGCCCTACTTTCCGAACCATCCAGACTGTTGGCGTGAAACCTTGTGTTAGGCTCTATGAACTAGTCCGGATGTACAAATACGGGATATCCAGTGTAATACTATACTAAACGTACAAGAGCTTGCAAAGCTCCAAACCTTTGCCGGGCATGACGTCATTGTTGATGAGCGCTTGAGCGCTAGCCCTCAGCGCCAAGACGCTCGGATGACTTCCAGCGCAGCGCATAGTAGTCTCATGTGAGTGGATACTTCTTGTCTAATATGCGGAATACAATGGCAGCTAGCTTTCAGCATCGAGCTGGAGGTATGACCTCTGTTTTCAGCCCCCACCCCAATACGTCGGTGCAGTGCGAGCACTCGTCTACCGCTCCATTCTGCCGCGACCTCCCAGTGCTCACGAGTATTGTCGAACATCGGATCAAGATGTCACGGTCGCAGGTCTACAGGCACGCTATTAGGAGTAACGGCGGTGACTCGGATGGAAAACAACGTATCCTTTTTCTCTGGTCATCTGCAGGTCATCCTGCCACAGTTTGCGGATGTTCCATTACCCGCGATAAGCTTAAGCTTTGGGACCTTTACGATATATCAGCATGTCGTTTTTTTCTCTCTTCTTTTTTTTGGCCTTGCCATGAGCTTATTGGCGTTTGCAGGTTGCGCGACTATAGATACATGCAATTATATGCGGAGGCGAATAAATAAGGTGTGACATACCCTCAGTTCGCATAAAAGGAGAGCGAAAAGACTGAAGAACAAAAAAGCGTCACGGCAGAAAAAGACGGGCGTCTATCGTAAATATTTGGAAACTACATTCGCTTTCTACCAGCGTCACCAATCGGGAGATTTCAGTCTGCACCTGCGTACGTCTATCAATGCCTGGCCATTACTTCTTGTCCTAATCACGCTGGATCCGAAATTCTTCCACATATCCACTGCAGGGAGCTGTATCGCGCGCCAGCCATGCATGCTGGTTTCATGACGCTTGATTGCATCGAGCTCATCAAGAAGACGAGCTCTCTGGGCTGTGTCTTTGCCTTATCGCTGATTGTCAGTGCGACATCTCATCCGTCGGAAGACTAGGCCGCCTACGAGCAACCTAGTTTCTGGTGTGCAGATCATGGAGGCTATGGCACAGACCCATCTGAAGCATGTCACCCTCGAACTTTGCGGCAAATTTGTGTGGCTTCGCTGCGCAAAGCAAACCTCGCTCTCTACCGTTGTACAAAACCATTGTAAAATCCGCTGTCGTTCAAGTTCTGGGGTAGGATCGATGTGAGGCTCAGATACGACGAACACTGCAGACGGCAGCAGTGCTTTGGGGACGGTCGCGTTTCAGCTGTGCCCATTTTCGGAATTGTACTGGGCTTGTGCAGCAGCCGACGTCACGGTTCGGCAACGGTTTCGTTCTCAAGCATGCCCGTGTTCCGATGATCTCCTCGCATCAGGAAAGTGTCCAAATGTCTAAACGTCGCTTGCGTTCGGACCGACGTACTTTGGGTGCCTTTAAAATGTTGATCAACACCTTAAGACGGGTCCTAACAACTCCCAAGGCACCTCCAACACCCGGGTCGCCTATCGACAGCTCAAGGCATCTCGTACAGCTCACTCTGTGCACCGACGGGGCCTCTAGTACTATTCGCTCGCTCGCTTTGTAATATGTCGAACGCATCTGAGCCCTTGGGCAACCCCGTTATCATCAATGCCGTGGCCGAGTGTGGCGGGACCCTTATCGGCGTGATTGTTTCCGCAGTATTATGGGGTATCTCCTGCATGCAAATGTTAGTCCATTCCACCACTTCATCTCACAGCCCATCTAACCAGCCATTTTATGCAGGTTCATGTATTTTTTTGAAGTACGTCCAACAATTATCGTGAGGCACATCTCTGACCGTATCAACCCAGCTATGACTCCGATCGTTGGCTTCTCAAGCTCTTGGTGCGAGTCATTTTTCTGTTGCACAATGTTGTGCCAAACCATTGTAAAAGGTATTTTACGTCTGGATAGCCGAAACTGTGGTGGAGGTTCTCGGGTTCGTAGGCCGTAAGTGTATATATGCGAGCTATTCCACAGCACTGTCCTGAATACTTCTCCGCTGCCTTTCAGAGTTCGACCAGTTTTTTACTCGCCGGGGTTCCATCATCGCATTTGACACCCTCGCGCGGTGGGATATCTCATATGTCCCCCTTGCAGGATTGCTGACCTATTTTTATTCGTAGAGGTTTGGTGGTATGTGTTATCCACTTCGTCCAAGTTTCAGAGGTTAGGGCTATTGACAATTCATTTGTGACGTTAATGAAGATTCGCACTACTCTGGCAGTAAGCGTCCCTTCTTCCCATTACAAAGCATTTCTTGATGTCCTCAACAGCCATTCATCTCGATCCCTGTTCAAATGGTCTTCCTCTATAGAATCCATCGATGTGAGTGTCTGAGTCAGCAGTTGCCTTACCTTTATCTAAAGGTCTCTTAGTCTCTCAGAGCAGGGAGTGGACTATGCGTGCCGCTACAATATTTACGGTGCGTGCGGAATATTTCTGGTCTATACATGTTAATACACGTGCTGAACGGCGTTTATTAGACTATGTTATTCATCTCGCAGCTGCGTAAGCACTCCACTCTTGGCAGTTATTAGTCATTCGTTCTAACAAGCAGACACACACAGCTCTGATGACACCGGCAAGCCATCATCATGGCATCTTCCATGGGCGACGATTAACTTCCCATTTCCAGGGGTATGGACCGCATGGGTCTTGTGAGCATCATTCCCGTTTCTCGGGTTATTTCAGCTTCTGCCGATGGACTATATAGCAACTCGAGAGATGGTCTTGGATCAACTCTGGCCTCGCACAGAGTGGTGGTACGTGCGGTAGTCAGTGGTTCGACTGAGCTGGTGCGCTCATGAGACCACCCGCAGACCATCGAAATTATAAGTCGGGCTATCCCTGCCTTCGTCGATGTATTCATCGCTCTATGAATGGCTGCTCTGCTCTGGCACCATAAAGAGCGCTCTCGGGTCTTAAGAAGGTGCGCAATAAACCAGCATCATATGGCTGTTGACGCCGCAGTCACTGAATCGGCTCATAATGCGCTTAATATTGTTGACCATCAATGCCGGCATTTGGACAGCCATTTTTTCAGTCATCGATCTGAGCTTGGTGCGCTCGTTTGTGTGCGACTCTACGAAGATGCTCATGCATTATGCCAGATTGCATGGAACCCTGGTAAAATTGTATTCACCGCCTTCAAGTTGCCGCTTGCTTCGCTCTACGTCAATATGTTCCTTGCCAGCCTGAATTCCTTAGGCGTGGCGGAAGGGACATCGTAGAAGTAAAGGTTGAGGCTTTGGGGCTAGATGTGAGAATACGGCAGCCTATGGACCTTTCTTTCCCGCGGTTGACTGACAGTACTCCGCCGAACGGAGATGAGATGAGTACCAGCTTCAAGTTGTAGCTGTGCTCATGATACGAGCTAACGGTGTTGTCCTTTCAGGATCCTGTTCTTGCTATCCGCATGGTAGACAAGTCTCTGGCCACACACAGAGATAGTAATCTGTCTCATGATGGAAAGAAATAGCTTTCGGACCAGTACACATCATGAGCGGTGTCACAGTTTTATTGGGGACCTTGTACGACGACTCTACCACGCATACAAGCAGATAGATTAGGTTAGAGGCATAGCAGAACCTCACGTGTATATTTAAGTTGGTGTAAATATTTCATCTGCTTGGCCATCACTGATGCCGCACGCAGTGCAAGAGGGTATGAAGGAGAGAGTGATAACATAATTTTAAGTTAAAGCGGCGTTCATGGTTCCTGTATTTTAAGCATGCCCCTGCCCCAACGATCTCCTATGCACGGCGCGAGGTTGATTGTCTTTGCTTCTGCAGACTGTGACCGTCTGACACGCTGTTGCCTGGCTCGAGTCGTGCCTGATTATACAGAGATTGCCTACCAGTAGAGTCCAGCTAGGTCAGTGGTGCAACCACGTCCACAAGAGCGAGACCTCCCACCGACCGCTCAGGGCATCTTGTACGGCCTGCTCTGTGCACCTGAAATGGTGATTGCGCTGACAAGACTCGTCATATCCTGAACGAGGAGAAAAAGCACGCGGCGTAAGCGACTATTGTGTTCAAGATGGGAAGTCGCACGTCTCGCGAATGCGGGCGAGGAGAGCTCGATAGGTTTGCAGCAGCCTGCTTTATTGATCACGGCCAAAGTACACCATACGGATACAGATGCACAAGCTATTGTTTAGGACGGAATAAATCCGTTTGACTTCCAGTATTTCACCCACATCGTAGCGTGTGCTTGAGTCAGTGGAGCCAGCGCGCGGACCGTCGGGCTTGAGCTCTCTAACACCGATGTTGCATACAACATGTCTTCTTCAACGCCGGAGTCACGCTGAGAAGCTATGCTCCGAAAGAATGCAATAAGCTTGATTGCAGGCTAGACAGAGGACGATGATTCAATTGTCATTAGCGTGCAATCGTCAGTTTTATAGAGTAAAAGCTCACGATACGATCCATGTCCTGGGCAGTCGCGCTCGTTGAGAGCGCCTCTACTTGCTCTACCCACTTCGATAATGGCACAAGCGGAATGTGTCCGGCGAGCCCTTCCTCAAGACCTTGCAAGATGACTGTCCATGGTGTTCTCTTCGGATGAACAAAATTCACCAGAGGGGGGAGTGGGTCCTTCGAAAATACCCAATCGGTGTATACCTGTCCAATGACGTCAAGCGGTACCCAATCGACATTCTGCGAAACGTGAATAGGTTCAGCTAAAGCTCCAAGTTGAATGGGGATTAAACGTGGGACTTACTCCAGGCATATCCGGAAGACTCTCGAGAGCAACGCTCGACTTCACCATGATAGGAAACCATTCTGTCGTATCCCATGATCCAGTAGCAATAGACCCGCATGCTTGGCCCATCCTGACCGTCGTCGCTTGGACGCCGTTCGCCACCGCGGCACAGAGGACCTGTTAGGCGCGATTTAGAGTTCAAAATCGCCACGCACTTATCATTACAGTGTCGCGCACCTGTTCCGCCACATATTTCGAGGCACTGTATCCTGAAACGATTGCAATTTCCGGGTCGTCTATGACGCTTTCGGGCACCGCACCCTTCGACCCTTCCCATTTGCTTGCAACACTGATCGACGACGTGAAGATGATCTTGATCGTTCTGCGAGACCTTGCGCACATATCCACTAGTGCACGAACACCAGCGATATGGGAGTGAAATGACCGAAGGGGAAGGTTGAAGTCGACGGTCCATGCGTTGTGAACAATGTGGGTGACGGAAGACAGGATCTGGAGTGCCCGCAGATGAGAAAGTAGTCGCAAATGTAGCGTAAGTATAATCGTACCTGTTCATAAGTTGAGTGGTCGAGGCCCCAGTTCTCCTTTGTGGTGTCGCCGACGAGCACTGTGAGACGTGCCTCGTCCTGCGGCGTGACTGGGAGCCCCCGCTCAGACAATGTGGA